GTAGACATGCGTGTTTTCCAAAAATGAAAAAGTATATTGTTAAATAGTGGAGGTCTAGTAATAGAGTAAACCTCAGGTGTATTTCGGTTTCCAAATGTTGTCATCTACGTTAATCAAAAAGTAGTTTAAACTTATACTTTTGAAATAAAGCTCTGATACCACTTGTTGAGTCTAGTAAATAGGTTGTTAAACCTAAGTTAATTTCCCAAGGCTACCAAGAGGGGGGTGAATTGGTATTTAAAAGTTTTCCTTTTTTTGATAAATTTAATCGAAATTAAACTTTAATGAATCTTTTATATAAAGTTTTTCAACCATAATTTTTTAAAAACACAAAATTAAAAGCAGAAAATAAAAAGCTGTAAAATAAAAAGACACACGATTTGTAGTGGTTCGGTCTAAACCAGACCTACATCCACTCCTCAGAGGCACCACCTGAGTATTGCACTAATATCAATAGTGTCTCTCCTTTTGCACCCACAGCAAGGCGGAGAAGCCTTTACAAACACTCTTTTCACCACTACCCGGTGCGGCAGAGAGCCGTCGTCCTTTTACACTTTCCCTAGTGTTGGCAGAGAACCGTCATCCTTTTACACTATCCTAGTGTGGGCAGAGAACACTTCGTCCTTTCACACTCTCCTAGTGTGGGCAGAGAACCCTTCGTCCTTTCACACTCTCCTAGTGTGGGCAGAGAACCCTTCGCCTTTTCACACTCTCCTGGTATCGGCAGAGAACCGGATCTCCTTGATAGATCTCTTCCCAAGAAATCTAGAAGGAAGAAAAAAAAGAGTGAAGTAATCTCAAATCACAAGTAGAAAATCATACCTTTGAACACCATGCAAAGCCTTCACGCTACAGTGGTAGAAATCCTTCTTTGACTGATCTCTCTCACTCTCTCCTTTACTCTTCTTCTAATAGGCACGTAGATCATGAGAAAAAAGATTGGGTGGCAGTCTAATTTGAACTATATATACAAAAGACAAGAAAAACTACCCAAAAATGGCAAGGTTTCAATTCTGTACGCAGTGGATCATCCTGGATGATAGTGGATCATCTTGGATAATTTTACTTAAAGTGTCGGAAATGATCCTAATGTATTTTGGTATGAACTATGTTCGTACACGCTCATCGTCCCGTACGAACTATGTTTGTCCGGTACGAAACGGTTATTACATAGGTCGGTATCCAAAATTCTACAGGACGTAACCAACTGACGTAAGTCGGTTCAGTTCATCCTGGGACGAATAGGTTTCGTCCTGGGACGATGTTATACAGAGATTTTTGTCCAGGGATGAAAATTATTTCGTCCGGTACGATCTCATACAGAGAGTTTCATCTAGGGATGAAGGTTTATTTCGTCCTGTACGATCTCATACAGAGAGCTTCGTCTAGGGATGAACCATATTTTTCGTCTGAACGAACAGTGCAAGGTGAGAATCCCGAGAAGTTCGTCCCGAGATGAATATTAAATTCGTCTTGGACGATTAGGACTTAGAAAATTTTCTACCCGCCTGTTCGATCCACTGCTCTTCTGAGGGGTTAATTAACATGATCGTCCCGTACGAACCAAGTTCATCCAGTACGAACCAGGTTCGTCCCGTACAATCAGTTTATAAAAGTTGTCCCCCAAGAGTGTGTGTTGTGATTTTCCACTCAATTACAATCACCATTTAAAAACTTATAATTTACAAATGAATAATTTGAAGTCTTCATCACTTGGAGTTGATTTTCCTGAAATGTTAGTACACACTAGAGCAAAAAACAAATCTTCCAAAAAGTGTTAGGAGATATATAAAACAATAATATTTGAAATCTTCAAAACAATACAAGTTGCAAGAATGTAAAACATGCAAATAGCAACTCTCTCTACATCCTATATGCGCTATTGGAATCTCTAACGCAAATAATAATTCGCCTGTTAATTGAAGAAGGCGACACTGGAGATCAATAATGGAGGACCCATCACCACAAATAAATTGTGAATGACAAAGATGGATATGATACAATTGTAATAGACTTCTACAACAATCCCTGTAAGGTCAAATAAACTATACTTTCAAACAATAGTAACAAGTTGCAGAGTTCATATGTGATTGCCATATGTGCTAATATAATCTCCAATACAAGCAAGTGCCTGCATATTGAGATGGCAATACTGCCGCTTGATAGTGGAAGACCCGTCCCTACAAACAAGTGCGATCATCAAACCACCTGAGATTGGTGAAAGGTGAATATGACGCAGAAACAATGGCTTTTCTACGAACACTTTCAGGAGGTCATAGTGAATACAATGGGTCCCTGTAAATAAATGCGAGCTAGTTGTGTATAACAACAGTGGATATATCGTAGGCACAATGAACCATTATGGACACAAGTATAGATATCACCTACAACAGTGATGATTGAGATACTGCAAAGTATGTCAAGCATGAAGATAACTCGATGTACGAAAAGGACACATTCTGGCTAAATGGAAGAGAAGTTTGAACAAATTCAAACTAAACTTCCTGGTGTTCCAAAATTTCTTCTTGGTCATATACTTGGGAAGAAAATGGTTCTGGCATCCACAAACACTGGAAATAACAAATCTACTACACTAAGGATTTTCAAAAGGAACTCTTTTCAAGGCTGCTGTCACTGATTTCCAATTCCAGAAGAACCTCCTGGTGAATGAGAAAAGGGAGTGTCCATCAGAACAATGAGGTATTTCATTACAATCAGGTGACAACACTATGAATCACCTATATCTAAAAGTAGGAGATTCGTTAGTGCATTATAATCCACATGAAGAAAGCAATAAGTAGTGCATGACAGTCTACCTATATAAAGCAGCAAATAACTCAATCCAAAAAATACTACAAAATACCACTGGATAAGCAATTTCCTTGCAAGAGGACATAAGGTGTTTACAAATATTTCAAAATACCACTATATATGCATCGTAATATGTATGAACATAGGTACATTGAAGGTGTAAATAAAATCATGACCCGCATGTGCCATAACAAGCATATTGTAGGGATACATGTGACGTCTTGGGATGCTACGCGGGTTATTAAATTTGAACCCGATCCTCCTAAGTAGGTAAAAGGAGTCGACGGGGTTTAATTATAAAATGCCCCCAAACATCCGTATGGGCCCCGACGAGTGTGTTTTCGATATACAAATGACGTCTAGGGAAGCTGTGTGGGTCGATAAGTGAATTCAAGTTCAAACCCGATCCTTCTATATGGATCAATAGGAGTCGACAGGATTCGAACCATCAAATAAATATACGGTTGTGACGACCGATATATTTTTTTAATACATTCATATTACACCTTCAAGGTCTATGACAATGAGAATTCACAAATAAAAGCACAAAGCCTACGAAACTCGATCCTCTGTCAATAGCTCGACAAAGTCGATAGGGTTCAATCGACAATAAAAAAACCTCTTTTACCCCAATGATGACCGTGTTGAATGCAGATCTCAATTGGTGAAGATAATCTCAAATATTTTTAAATGTCACCCAAATGCTCACCAAAATTCAAAAATCTCCAAATTTCCAAATCCCAAGATATTTAAAATCAAATTTTAACCATTCAAATCACATAAAGCAAAATTCATTCATCATCTGCAATAATTTGCCGGGGTGAATAAATTTAAAATTTACTTGAGCTCACATAGAGCTAATGCCTTGTTGAAAATATCACTAGGATCCATTCTCAAACAATCTTCTACTAGAAAGGACGTGGTATGTGTCCTCTGACTAGCGGTTGCCTCCAAATAGCACCGCAGAATAAACGGATATGACTGGGGCCCTTTAAACTGAGAGATTTTGTCACCAAATGACACCACTAAATATTAGTTATGGCCAGGGCCAATACGCTCCTTAGTGGAATCAAATCCTTGAGATATGAATCAATAGGATATAATTGATAGGGCACAAAGCACTCTGTTAGCTAAGGTGGATTCAAATTTATCCCCTTAGACAAACATTCACCCAAGGTCTACAAGATACCCTTGGACGAAGCAACCCATGGCTGCCGACAAGTATCCTTCTATCAGGTTGGGTCGACTACCTCCTCTTACCAAGTAGACCAGGGACCACGATGGCCTGGGACGACAGAATCATGGGATCTTGATCGGGCCATCATTCATTTCCCCACCATCCGCTTTAAGTGCAAGATGATGAAAATTTCTATTTTAAATACCAAACTCCTCAAATATCTGAACCCAAATTTCCTAACCTTCAACTTTCCAAATATATACACCCATTGCTGCTACTATATGCCAGATAACACGTATTTTCTATGTATCTGATTGACGACTAGCCTTATTCGAAAGTTCTCTCTCGTGATTGGGAGGGGTAATTAACTATAGGGGCTTGCGCCTATAGGAAACCAGAACTCAGATCATAAAGTCCTCACAAAATGAGGATGAAATCTCTTGGTACTCTCTTATCTACAAACCCATATGCCTTCCAAAATTTATCCTGGAACTTAATTTTGTTAAAAACTCCCCCCGAAAAAGAAAATGCAACAGCGGGTGGAGGCCCGGGCCGAATTTTCGGAGCCCACAACATCCTCACAAGCAATGACTATTCCAAGAGACAGAGAGACCATACAGGAGATTGCTTGTGGGCATGCAAATTTTCTCCACATGCTATACATATACATATAGATCCTTTGATGATTCTGTTGCTACATTTCTTTGACCATGTAGTAAGTATAAATCTTTGCTTCAGCATGAGATTTTGCATTATGTATTAAGTTGTTGAATTTAGCATTGCTGATTGCATGACTGCCATTTCAAGTTTATGTTTGAGGATTTTGTAGGGCTATGCATTTTTAAATGGTATTTTGGCCAATTGAAGGAGTACTAAGAATTCGGGATAAAGTAAGGAAAAACAAACATTCTTTTTGCTATGGATGCATATTTGAGCTAAGGGCCTTACATTTTTTTTTTTTTTTTTGAATGAGCTTCGGCTTTAATCTTAGAGCCGTAAATGCTTACACTGACATGTTCAACAGCTTAGGACAACAATTGACAAAAGCACTGCCATGTTTGACAAAGAGAAAGCACAAGAACGGTTGTCTAAGCTTTCTGGTGGTGTTGCTGTTATTAAGGTTTGTTATTATTTTTTAAACATTTCCATTTGAATTATGCATGCGTGATTTCCTTGTAGCTATTTGTTTGCAGGTTGGTGGAACTAGTGAGGCTGAAGTTGGTGAGAAAAAGGATCGGGTTACAGATGCTCTGAATGCAGCAAAAGCGGCTGTGGAAGAGGGTATTGAACCAGGTGAGTTTTTTTTTTTTGTTTTGGGCGATGGTAGTTGGAAGTTGTTTGCTTTACTCTTTAAGATTGCTCTTGTTAGGTGGCGGTGTTTCTCTTTTATATGCTACAAGGGAATTAGATAGAATCCCAACGAAGAACAGTAACGAGAAAATCGGAGTTCAAATCATTCAGAAAGCTTTAAAGGTTAAACTCATGCTTTGTAAATGTTTAAGCTATCAAATTTTCCGAACTAACAATATAGTTGCCTGCAGGCACCTGCTTATACAATTGCTGCAAATGCTGGTGTGGATGGTACTTTAGTCATTAGCCAACTTCTAGAACAACATGGCCTAAATTTTGGCAATGATGCTGCAACAGGTGTGTTTTTTTTTTTTTTTTTTTTTTTTTTTTTTTGTGTATTTGAAAGGCAGTTAATTTCTCATCATTATTGCATTAAATATGACTGAGAGTTTGCAACTTAAGGTCTGTTTGGTTGGTTGAAAGAAAAAATGCAATGTAAAAGAATAGCAATATAAAAGAATGCAATGTAAAAGAATTGTAATATAAAAGAATGCAATGTAAAATGAAATACTTGAATGTTATTTGAATGAGTGTAAAATAAATACTAGTGAATATTTTTTCTTATTTAATTTGAATCAAGATGAAATTAGTATAAAATCTAAATATGGAATCAACGTTGCTTAATAGTGGTGGTGGCGAGTGGCGCCGGCGGGTAGTGGCGGTTGATGACGGTGGTGGTGGTGCCGGCAGTGGCAGCGGTAGTGATTGGAAGACGGTAGTGGGTGGCGGAGGTGGTAGTTGACTGCAGGTGGCGGTGGCAGGCGGCGGGCGGCGGTGTGAGCTGGTGGCATGCAACGACAAGGAATTTTATGTTGTATTTGAAATTTGCCCAAATCTGAGGAATTCCAAAAAAAACAAAAATAAAGTAGATGGAAAAATTTTACATTGCATTTATTTTAATTCAAATTAAACACCACCTGCATTTAAAATACTTTACACTCTTTTTACTTCAAACCAAACAACTCAGTCTTTCGCCATCTCTTCATGATTTGCAATCCTCTTGTTAGCTGAAATTTTTTGTTGTTGGATTCTTATTATTAATTGTTATTGTTCTTGTTTATGAAAAAACTGTTTTTGATAATTGAGCCAACCCCGTTAAATATTTTTGTTTGCAACTTTCTAGTGAGATTTGTAGCTATGGAGATTCATTCCCGTCATTTCTCAGTATTGATTTAAAACTTTTTTATTTGATAACTGCCACAGGTGAATATGGTGACCTGGTGAAGGCTGGAATTATTGATCCTCTCAAAGTCATGAGGACTGCTTTATTAGATGCTGCAAGGTAAATTTTGAGAAATTCATTGTCATTTTCTTCTATCAAAGTGCTCTATTCATAGCAAGTTATTTATGTTGGATTTTTAGTGTCTCGGTTCTACTGACAACCACTGAAGTAGCAGTGGTAGATCTAGAAGAGGATAAAGCTAACCCTGGAGCTAGTCGAATGCCACAAATGGAGGACATGGATTTATGAGGAAAACAGAGTTGCACAAAACGTTAAAAAATGCAAAATAATTTCTTGCTATGCTGAAAAGCAAAACTAATAGGAAAATTTTGGTAAAATAGCTGCTACTGGTACTTCTTTTTTCGTTTTTGTACATTATTTAGATTCCATTCTACAAATTCTAGCTGAGTTCAGAGAATGATTATAATATATATAATATATATATATATATATATCTACAAGCAATCAAATTTAGGTGAAATGTTCAACAGTTGGTAGTGGTACGACATCAGAGTTAGAAGCATGTAGAAAGGCCTATTTTTTACTTTTTGGCCTTTTTTTAATTGGTCTTTTTTTTTATTATATTCTGCTTCTTTTTCTCTAGGCCTATAGGTCTGTGCTTATTTTATACTTCAATTGGCTTTAACGCCTCGGTGAGCCCTGTTATGCGTTTCATTAATACTCGCATGTTTTCCAGTAGAACATTCAGTTATTTCTTACTTTCAGAATTCTAGCATGTTCTCTTGCACTATCTACATAAATCTTTGCCTCAGTAGCTGCCTTCGCATCCACTTCTCTTGATAGTGGTTGATGGGGGTAGCATTGAGTTTCAACATGCTCTTAAATCATGGCCATGCCATTATCAGTATATTATAATTTCAGGATTGTAAATCCCATCATATGAAAGCATAGGTAGAAAGCTTCAATCGGATGATGGTGTTTTTTTAATGTATAAAAGTTTGATTAAATGAGAAGAATATCTCAAGATGTATTTCTAATCACCCAGCTTTTCAGCATTGATGGTTCAACTATGTCAACAACTCCATGTCAGTTTTAAATTGAAGCTAGTTGCTCTATAGACATTTCGATATGTGCTCTATGTGCTTTGAAAATTAGCACCCCATTCTCTCCACATTTTGGGAGAGTTTAAGCGAAATAGGTTTCGGATAAAGAAGGTAGATTAGTTTGAAGATAAAAAAATTATCTAGAGATTTTTTCTTCATTTTATGAGGATTTTATAATTTGAGTTCATATCTCCTATAGATGCAAGCTCCCTATGGTTAATTATCCCTAAATATTAGTTGTTAGATAGACACTAACTACCAAATATTTAGTAATAGTATCAATAGATTTAATATTGAAGCACACTGGTGACCCAAATTATTGCCCATATCATCGGGTACTCTGCCATCCTATTGAAAATTGCAACATCTTCAAGGATTGGCTTGAAAGAAAATATCAAAAGGGGGAGCTGACATTGTCCGATAATGTGTTGTCTCACCCTAGAAAGGAATCAACTCGGGTGGTCACGTCCTCTTCCGTACCCCCAGTTCAAGAAAGAAGAAAAGAAAAGAAGCCAATTCAAGAAGAACAGTGGGAGACTGCGGTCTCTAAGAAAACTGTGAAAATGGTGAAACAGCTTGAAGGAGTTTCAAGTGTAAAGTGGAAGTCTCCTATTGAGCCAATGATAGATTTGAAGGCACTACCGGTGGTACGACCTTCTACTTCAAAATAGTTTTCCAACCAAATTGGTTCTTCAAAGACTGGAAAGAAAAAATCGTCCAAGAAGAAAACCAAGTTGAAGAAGCCCAAGGAGAAGATGACCGCAACTTAGAGAGTTATCAACAGTTTAAATGAATATTATCAGACTGTGAGGTGACCTATCAAGCTCGCTGATTTCATGACAGAGCTTAAAATCGATGAAGCTGAAGAAGGAGATAAAGATTCTCTTCCCAAAGAAGTATGTCGGGTCATCTCAGTGGCGCCGAGTACCTCGATAAAAGAGGAATGCACAGAAGAAGTACCCTCTGAATCTTGTATGATGGTTTTGCCAATGGATTACAGTTCGAAGGAGGATTTATATTTTCCAGAGGGAGACAAATTAGACCCTAGCATAGCGTCTCGGATGGGACATATAAACCTGGGTGGTGATTCTGAATCAACAGATGAGTTCCTAGACGCAACGATGGCTGACTCTGAAGAAAATGTACAGTTAAATGACTATGAACCGAAGGAGATTGCTCAGGTGCATTTAAGAAGCGGCAAGATACTACCGCCTCCACCGAAGAAAGGGGTCTCCAACAAAGACAAAGAAAAAGAGATAGTTATCAACGATGATATTATCCCTGAAGATCCTAAGAAAAAGAACACTTCATCCAAGAGGATGGATTATAATATCTTATCCCATTTGAGAAAAATCTTAGCACAGCTCAGCATATACGATGCTTTGGTGATGTCTAAAGACCTTCGGGAGACTCTGATTCAGGCTCTCAAAGATCCCGAAAGATACGAGGCGTATTTTGCTGAACGTAGTTTGACTGAGGTTCTGCAAGCTCGAAATGAGTCATTCATTACTTTCTCCGAAGAGGACATGATGCTCGGAACTGCAGACCATAATCGTCCTCTGTATGTTACTGCAGAGAGCGATAAGCTGATTATCAGGCGAATCCTAATCGATCCTGGATCCTCCGTGAATCTGATAAGCTTGAAAGCACTGAGATCCCTCTACCTTGATGTGGAACACCTCGGGCCAGATAAGTTGATGGTGCATGGTTTCAACAAAAAATGGCAGAAAACACTTAATCATTCATGCTCCCTCTTGTATTTGGAGAGCTCCACACAGAAGCTAAATTCCATGTGATTGATGCGGATACTTCATTCAAGGCACTACTAGGTCGTCCCTAGTTGCATGAATATGGCATTGTCCCGTCAACACTACACCAGTGTATGAAGTATCTCAAAGAAGGAGAAGAATTCAGGATCTCTGGTGACATTCAGCTCTTTACAGTTCATGAAGCAACAGTTTATGAAGATGCACGGCACTTCATGCCAAAGAAGCAAAAGTCTTCGAGCTTTCTCGAAGATAGAGCATCAAACTCAAAGACTGCAAAGCGACCTGAACGGGAAGGTCAGAAGAAGCAGGTGGGGAGAAAAAAGGCAGCGCCGGCTCTTCCCAAGGCACCGACCATTCCCAAAGAGAAGAAACTTGTACCTCATCTTGGAAGTGACACAGATGAAGATGATGTTACTCCTGCTAAATCTCAGAAAGTATGCTAGTCCACAGGTGAATGGAGTAGGCATGTTGAATTTTCAAATGATGATTATGACTACAACTTTATTTATATGAACACGGTACAGAATGTGTTCTCTAGAAGAATAGACAGACTATCAATTTCAGATAGTATGCTTGTAGTCACGCGTGTTCCCTTACAACATTTCAAAGAAATTATTTCGCGCGAGGTGCATAAAGTTGAAGAACTCGCCACTCTCTATCTGTCTCCCCGTAAAAATGGGACTGTGCCAAAGAATATGTTATATTCCATGGGAGTTCGTGAAGAGGAAAATAATAACTGGGATTGCATGCTCCTCGACTCCGAGGAATTATTTCCTATGAGGCTACCTAGGTTCAATACAAAAAATATTCAGAGAAAGCTACAAAAACAAGTCAATATTCCTACCACCAAGCGACAACTTCGTACAAGCTTGGGCCTCTAGTATGGGAGGAATCCACGTCCACTACGATGGAAGGATACAGATGCATATAAAGTTATTGGATTTATCAAACGAAAATCCCTCTGGAAAGAGACTTGCCGGACAATAACATGCATGGAAATTGAATCCGATGATGATGGCGCTGAAGAGACATACGAGGCTGATGATTATGATGAGCAGCCCGTAGAAGCCGAGCCTGCACCAAAAGAGTTTGAAGATGGTGGACAGGCAGTCACTATGGATGAATTAAAAGAAGTCAACTTGGGGACTGAGAAGGATCCTCACCCAACCTTCATTAGTTCTCTCCTACCCAAAGAACAAATAGAAGAAATAAAAGAACTTGTCTGTGAATTCAGAGACTGCTTTGCCTGGACATATGCTGAGATGCCTGGCTTATCCCCTGACGTAGCAATTCACAGATTAGCAATCAGACCGGATGTAGCACCCGTCAAGCAAGCTCCAAGAAGAATGAGATTGGAGATTAAAGAACAAGTGATCGCAGAAACGAAGAAGATAATAGAGGCAGGCTTCATCCGAGAAGAAAAGTATGCTAATTGGATCGCAAATATCGTCCTAGTGAAGAAGAAGAATGGACAGATTCGTGTCTGCATTGACTTTAGGGACCTCAATAAGGCGTGTCCAAAAGATGATTTTCCACTCCCTGTATCCGAACTCATAACTACGACATGTTCTCCTTCATGGATGGATCGTCAGGATATAATCAAATTAAAATGGCGTCCGAAGATGAAAAGCATACATCGTTCAGGACGCCCATCGGGATTTTCTGCTACACAGTCATGCCATTTGGCCTGAAGAACGCTGGTGCCACCTACCAGCGGGCGATGACTCATATATTTGATGATTTGATACATCAAAAGGTCGAGTGCTATGTGGACGACCTTGTTGTCAAGATCATGGATCGAAGAAATCACCTAGATGACTTGAGGATTGTATTTGAAAGAATCAAGAAGTATGATCTAAAAATGAATCCTCTCAAATGTGCTTTTGGAGTCTCTTCTGGCAAATTTTTGGGGTACGTTGTCCGTCATCGAGGTTTCGAAGTTGACCCCAACGATCAAGGCAATCATGGAGATATCACCTCCAAAGAACCTTCGACAGCTTCGCTCGCTGCAAGGACAACTGGCTTTCATTCGAAGATTCATATCAAATCTATCGGGTAGGTGCCAGCCATTTTCAAAGCTAATGAAGAAAGATGTTCGTTTCAAATGGGATGTAAAATGTCAAGAGGCATTTGACAGCATCAAAATATATTTGTTGAATCCACCCATTCTCGCAGCGTCGATTACGGGGAAGCCTCTCATACTGTACACAGCTGCATTAGAAGAGTCCCTCGAAGCACTATTGACCCAGAATAATGAAGAAGGCAAAGAAAATGCACTCTACTACATCAGTCGAAGGTTGATTGGAGCAGAAAGTCGTTATTCCCCAATTGAAAAGCATTGCCTCATGCTGATTTTTGCAGTTCAGAAACTCTGTCATTATATGTTATCCCACAAAATCACCCTGATATCAAAGATCGATCCGCTGAAGTTCTTGATGACAATACCAGC